AAATCAGAAATATCAGCAGTTTGTGACAGGTACAGTTATCCTTCTGTTCTTTGTCTTTATTTACTCAAGTTACCAAAATACAACTGATAAGAAAAGACTTTTAAAGTTTTTATATATAAACATTTAATTTATATAATATGAGATGATTATAGGAAACATTTTTGTCACTTTTAACCTCATTTATTTGACATTTTTGTCATACTTATATCTTAAAAAACTTTGTCTTTTTGTGTCTTGAAGCAAAAAGGAGAGAAAAACTGTTTAAAATGAACTTTATTCCTAAAGTTATGTGAGATGAGGGTTCTGTTTCCTAAATAAAGGTTAAACTGTGAGTTTGGACCTCAAACACAAATCATTTTTACTACAAAGAGGTTTGTTCAGAGAGCAGGAGGTTTTTGTACGGCTGCTTAATGACTTTGTATCACTGTGGTACACTTTTGGTGGAGGAACCAAACTCATCGTTGACTGTAAGTACCAGAAACTTTGACTTTATCAGAAAACTGTTGGAACATTTCACTTTTTATTTAACACTGAAATAAGCTGACACATTTGTAAATTGGTAGAAAATATTAAAATCTTTGAAAACTGAACACTTGATCCTAAAAGCTGAGCTCTGTAGAGATGTTTGAAACTGCTGGGTTGTAAATGATTCAACTGAGAAAATCAGCTTCATAAAGTCTTTTTCTAAAACTATATTATATATTATTATAATATTAGAAATATTAGAAATTATAATTTTCTATAATTTTCCATGGTATTGTAATTTTATAGACAAATTTAAAAATATTCCCTACACTTTCAAAAAGCACAAATATTCATTTTATTTATTATTTTCTTGTTTAAATTGTGTGGAATGAAAGCATCTGTTGTGTTTGTTTTGAGTTAAACTGGGCTGTGAGTTTCTGATCAACAGAAATGTGATTTTATCAGTAAATACAGATCAGCTCTGTGTTCACGCTTCATTTGTTCTCCATGAAGTTTAAAGGAAGTGAAAGAAACAGACGACAAAGTTTGAAGTGTTTTCACAGCAGTGTTTCAGCTCCGTCAGATTAAAGTGCAGAAAATCATCTGACAGATTATTTCTGAACTGTCTCACTTTATGAGACACGTCCAATAATCTCATCAATAATCAGTAATAATGAGACGTGAAAGTTTTGTCTCAGCCTTCATTGTCCTTCCTGTGTCTTTCCTCCCCCTCTCTCCTCCAGTGGGTGTGGTGCGGCCCACCCTGACCGTCCTCCCCCCCTCCAAAGAGCAGCAGCAGCAGAGCAGTGTCACTCTGGTGTGTCTGGCCCAAGGGGGCTTCCCCTCAAGCTGGAGGCTGGGCTGGAAGGTGGGGGGCAGCAGCAGGTCCTCAGACGTGTCAAACAGCCTGGAGG